AACATCAAAAACATTAATTTGTCTTATTATAACTCAGAATTCACAAACTCAATGGAGAGAGAGAAACAGACCGAATCAGGATACTGAATGGTACGGTAACAGCGACCAGTTTCGGCTTCCCAGAATCGAATCGTGTGATCATAGCTAGCTGTAGCAAGAATCACAGAAGGCTGACTCATTTTCGATCGATTTTATCCCGATCGAAATAATGAACCAACCATTTCGTGATTTTTGCTGATTCCCAGAAACCAAACAAACCCCTTTTTCGAAAAAATCAACAGAAGAACAAGCTAGGGTTTCCTGATTGAGGATCAAAAACAGGAACACAAAGAAAGAAAAAAAAAAAAGGGCAGAGAAGTGTAAATTGAAGAGAAGAAAGTGGCAGAAGAAGAAAATAGGGTTTTTCCGAGCTTCTCTCATAATTTAATTAGCGCGGGGTGGTTTTAGTATAAATATATATCTGTTGGGGTTTATATAAACATATGTAAATAAGTAAAGGGTTATTTTGTTATTTATATAAGTTAAGAGGATAAAAACAAAACTCTGTTTGTTGTTCACTGACAGTATATAACGGCTGAGACTCATTGGAAGCTTTTAGAAACGGCGACAATGGCGGCTACGAAAGCTCTGGGATTTGTTTTGCCGACGGGATTATTTATACAGCCGTCGTTGAACCGTCGCGGAGGAGTTAGGGTCTCCGTCTTCCAGTGTTCCGTTTCTTCACTCACCTCTACAGGCACCGATTTCCCCATTTCCTTATTTGCACTGTTTGATCTTTTCCCAGAACTTTGGATTGAAATTGGCTTTCGATTCAAATTTTATGTATATATGATTTGTTTTTCAGATTACTTGTAGGCTCTTGATTCGTGCCTTAATCATTGTTTTGGTTATTGATTCTTTTAGTTTAATAAGCTGAAAATGTGTGTTTTTACTGGTATGTAGGACTTCTGGAGAAACCTTGGAGCTCATACAATGCTAGGCTTGTGTTAGAAGATGGCTCTATGTGGTCGGCTAAGTCTTTTGGTGCTTCTGGAACCCGTGTTGCTGAATTGGTTTTTAACACCTCTTTGACAGGGTGAGCTTCTTGTTTTTTTTGGTTAAGTTTTGTTTTTATCATCAGTTATGTCTTAACATTGCTTGATGTTTTTGCTTGATCTTTAATGGAGTCTGATTGCTTTCTATCTTTCTTAAAGGTATCAAGAGATTCTGACTGATCCTAGTTATGCTGGACAATTTGTGCTAATGACAAATCCTCAGATCGGTAACACCGGTGTCAATCCCGGTGAGTAGAAATTCCAGTTTGAAGTTTTTAAAACTTTCTTCCATACTGTATATAGTGTTCTGACTTTTAAATATGTTGTCTTTTTCTTTTCCCCAGATGATGAAGAATCAAGGCAATGTTTTTTGGTGATAAGAAGTCTTAGCATCAGGTAAACATATCAAGTCTGATACCTCATACCTCCAAGAATATTTAGTCTATTGGAATCTCTTTCCGTTTTTCAGTACATCTATATGATAAATTTTGCAAATCACAATCTTTGCAGTACCTCAAACTGGAGATGTACGAAAACACTTGGTGACTATCTAGCAGAGAGGAACATTATGGGAATCTGTAAGTGTGTTTGGTTATTGGCACTTAATTTAGATTTCTAGATATTATAACTGGGTTTAGAACTTTACTCATTTTAATCCTACCAGATGATCTTGACACACGGGCAATAACTCGTCGATTAAGAGAAAGC